GATCTAATGGAGCGGAGGAATGATCATAACGACAGGAAGAGAGGACAGGAAGATAAAATTAACAGGATTCCATAGTAAACAAGATAGCCACAAAAGATGAAACATTAAATATTTTTTCAGCAAGATTGGAAATTAATAATATGTAATGGGTATGGAGAGAAGAGAAGGCAAAGCTCATGGAGCAGGGAAGGTAAGACTCAGTAACGACTAGTGAAGAGCAGGACCAGGAGCTGTAATTTGACCTGAACCAACATAGGTATACTAAATAGGTGAGGTAACCAAACCAACACACTACTATACTTTAGCACGGGCATAGGTTCTTCAATGCAATAATTTTTAATATGGTATTCATTACCTATCAGTGACTACTGTATCATATATTGTTTGTAACAAACTTACAAAACTCTGCAGAGCGAACGTGGCACAATAAATTCCACGTTAACTGAGCATGTGTCTTTTTATTCAAGGAACTGTTTGCAGGTGCTGGATATAGAAAATTGGGAAAATGATATCTCTATGGTGAACCTGGATCAGTGAGAACAAAGGATTGTCCAATAGTTACGGGCGGATTCAGTATTTTGACAGGGTCTAAAGTGGATCAGTGAGACGGGGTGGATCAGTGTGACGGGGTCAGTGCGGCTGATCAGTGGACGGGCTGGATCAGTGTGACGGGCTGGATCAGTGAGACGGGCTGGATCAGTGTGACGGGCTGGATCAGTGAGACGGGCTGGATCAGTGTGACGGGCTGGATCAGTGTGACGGGCTGGATCAGTGTGACGGGCTGGATCAGTGAGACGGGCTGGATCAGTGAGACGGGCTGGATCTTACTGTTTCGTCGTGTTTTTATGTTTCTCATTGTAATCAAATATTTTCCCGCGGCAATAATTATAGTCTGCTGTCTGCTAACCATTAATTCACCGCAACACTGCCTCATACTGTGTCAACCGAAGCAACACTCACTGCAACACTGCCTCATACTGTGTCAAGGGAAGCAACACTCATCGCAACACTGCCTCATACTATGTTAATTAAGGGAAGCAACACTCACCGCAACAGTCTCATACTGTGGAAGAACAAGATAATGTGCAACACATAGGTGTCTTTATTGTTGAAATGTATCGCAGCAAATTTCTTTAGTCGAATACTGAGGTTGTTCAGTTCCTCGGCCTCGTTGGAAATTGTTCATTCCCTCAGCCTTGATACTCTCCACCACTACGCGAAGGTCACAAAATATTAGGTGTCCAGTGAGAACACTAGAGATGTCGCCTCTAATGCTTGGCTCATTCGAGGAGTGATAAGCTCAAAGACTTATTTCATTCTCCTGCTATGACTTCCAGAGTTTATCTAGCTTCCCGGGAGACTATACGTTCACTATACGACTTTTTTTCCCTTCATGCGATTTAACTGAAATTTTTACCATAGACTCTAGGCATGCCATAGTTTATGCAGTATAAGTTGCATCAAGATCGTCCAATAAATAATGATAAAAAAAAAAAATATTAGCATTTGGACATGGCAACATTTATGGCACCGTTATGGAGTAGTGGCAATGTCGAAGTTGTTTTTGATACCCTACAATGATAAAGCAATGCCATATTGATTTTCTAATGGATTCCTTTATGTATTATTACACTTATTAGTAACCAAAAAAAATAGTAATTATGTCTTGACATGTTTTACACCATTCTTGCATTCCATGCCCATGGTATGCCAAAATGGAAGGGATGATTACCCAAAGGGAGTCCATTTGCTTTTAGAACAATGTCCCCTGAATAAGCAGTGTGAAAATAATGAAGATCGGTTCATAAATAACTGAGATACTGTTAGATATATGAAAATAATGCACTTCTGAGATAAATGAAGAAATATATTGGGGCTTACTATATGGTGGGTAAAAATACTCATGGAGCCTTCTTATGTTTATTGATAGCAGAAACAAGTGTATAGAGTATATCCCTGAAGTTCCATGCAGATCCCTGCATCCTGAAGTTCCCTGGAGATCGGCCAATCACAATGCTCCATGCATGCCAACCTGAAAAGAAGGAAATACATTCTCAAAATCGTATTGCCAGTGATTATATACACAGATACATGTAATTACAAGTATGTCATATTTATACACATACAAATATACAAGAAAATCACATGAATTACATACCTTTGAGTAGGTGTTGGTAAGGACATCAATGATCATCTAATGTCCTCCACCAGACGATTCTACGTCTGAAAAAATCCATTAGTTCACTAGCAGTGAACAATGTTTGGTCTTAAGAGGAGTGTGATGGCGTCACGTGCTCCAGCCGCCGCCTCTCTCGCTGCTGCTTTCCTCTTCGCTTTTATAGCTCTACGAATTCCTTCTAAGAGCTTTCTTCTCTTCACGGTTAACTTGCGAGAGAATGATTTCTTCTTGTGAGCCATTGTGTGTAAAAATGCAAAGAATGGAGGGTCAGATTACGGGTCCCAAGGGTCAGCCGCGGTCAATCAGAGCAACACACCTCCTCTCCCCCCAGACCTATGGGGGCACGATTTTCTAGGGAAGGAAAACCCTTTTTTTTTCCTACAGCCACCCTAACAGTTCCCAAATTTAAAGTATTTCGAAGATTCTAGCAAAAAAAATCGTAAGAAAAAATTACGAAAAAAATACTAAAAATGAAATCAAGTATACATTGTTAGGGGTGCGCGTCAGCGGGTAAAACCAAATTTACGCAATTCCTCATTTTTTATAATTACATAATTCTCGCAAAATTTTAACGTACGACACGAGACATAAACCAAAAGGGTTGCCAGTTTTTTTAACCCTTTTTTTCGGTAAGTTTAACTCTTTTTTTTTTTCGTTTTTTTTTGGTATTTTTGACCGCCACGTCAAATTCCCCTTTTTAAATCCCGGGGTTTGAATCTTGACATCGCAGAAAGTTTTTTTTGAAATATAACCACTTTTTTCGGGTGGAGACAATGATTTGGTACTGCCCTAATAGTGAAATTCAAATGGGGGGATTCCCTTTGGAAAACCAATTTTTCCCATTCCACCACATCGAAAAGGGTTAAACCGGGGAAAAAATTTTTGATTTTCCGAACTATAGCCCCTTTAGGTGTTTAATGGTTGAAAAGGGGTCAAAAATGATTTGACAAAGGGATAAACCAAGATTTTCCTTTTGCGAAAGCGGGGATGTGCGGGGGAATGGGCGACTGGGGCCAGGGGGGAGGCGGGAGTTTTTGAATGTATTGGAGGGGGCGGGGGAAAGCATGGAAACCGGGAAAATTGCATTCAGGGCGGCCTAAGGATTAATATGGGCCCCCATTTCATAATAGGAAATGCAAAACGGTTCCGGGTAAAGAGTGGGGGAACGGGGATTTATGGGACCACCGAAAAAAGGTGGAAAAATTTAATGAAAAAGGGTTCGACCGGGGTGTGACTGGGCGGGGCCATGGTTGTGTCCAGGGAAATCCCCTTGTTTTTAATCCTCGCACATCGGCCTCAGATTTAAGGAGTGACCTCAAAATTGTATAAAAATTATGAACGTTAAATCTTCCTTGTAAAAGGTAATGTAATCTTGAAATAAAATTTTTTTTAAAGAGAATGCGGATGTGAAATAGATCGCCCTGCCCCGAGGAATGCGGGGATTCTCGTACCGGGGATAGTGAAGTTTTTTTTTTAAAGGAAAGACGACTTCAAAACCGGGAAAAACCCGATGGATCCGCTCCTGCGGAATAAAACCCCTTGTGGGTGTAGCAGGCCCTCGAAATGAAAGGGGGAAATGGGGGAAATAAGGAGTATCAATCACCCCCAGTTAAGTAACCCTTCTAATATAGCAGACTGATACGGGCCCCATTTAGGTATTTTAAAAGGGAATATTTATTTTTTTCCCAGCTACCTCAAATGACCCCCCAGAGAATATCGGGTAAGGGAGAGAAATGTACAAGTTTTTTTTCCTTGAGGGATATACCCCGGGTTTAACCAACCCCCCCCCCCCTTCATTCAGCAAACCTTAATAAAAACCTAAAACAGTCCAAAAAATTTAAATATTAGCACCGTATTTGTTGCAATCCAATCCAACTGGTCTGGGATAGATAGGGAAAAGGGATTGTAAAGGTGGGAAGGGGAATCATTTGCCGTGAACCAGGGGGGGGTTAAGTTTTCTCACATGTCTACACGGGGTGACTACGGTAAAAAATTTTGGTTTTCTCCCGGGGTTTACTTGTAAGCATTAAGGGCTGAGGTACATAAAGGTAATCCCCAAAAATTTTCCATATCTGCCCGCTGGTCCCTTTCCCGAAACCGGGTGCAATCTGAAAAAATTAAATTTAAAAATTTAAATTTCTTAATAATTAAGTGACATTTTAAGGAAATGGGGGTTTGGGTTTCACAAAATTAAAACGTCGTGTGAAAGGGGTAAAAATACCCCCCAAAAAATTGCTACACATTTGGGGGCTAGGAAATTAAAACAGGGGAAAGTGGGAAGAATTACTCTTTTAAGGCGCCTACTTAAGTTGTGTAATCAGTGATTAATAATTCTCTAACCATGAAAGGGCCCAATGGAGTTAATGTGGGTGACAATCCCCTGGAATTATTAGAGTAATGAAAGCATCAAATTCAGGCTATTAAAAGCCATGTGACGAAGGGAATTTATTTAGTGAATCAAAAACCGTGAACCTTTAAAGGGAAAAAAAGTTTATTTTTGATGTTTTAGGGGAGTAGATTTGAAAGTTTAAAAATTTTGGGTTTAAAAAAACTGTGAAAAGATCCTTTCTGGAGAATTGGCAGATGGAAAGGAAAAAATGTTTTTAAATTTAAACAAAATTAAAGAAATTGGGAAAAAAAAACCCGTCTTGTAAAAATAAAGGCTTTGAATAAATTAAAGGGTGTAAACCAGGCATTGGTCAACCTATTAAAAAGCAAAGGGGGGGTTTGCCAAAACCCCCAGAGTACGGTCTGGGGAAATCAGACTAGGTCGGGAGAATTAAAAAGTTCAAATTGGGAGACCAGTCACCAAACATTTTTAAGGGTATAACACATAATGACTCTGAAGTAACGTCAAAGTCGCAAAAGGGGAAAAAAAAATCCCAGTGGTTTAAAAATCTAGTTAAAGTTAAATAGGCACATACAAATCAGGAATCATTTTAGTGGGTTCCCACATCAAAGGAAGGGGGAAAAAGTACCTCAGAAAATGTAAACCCCGTTAAAAGAGGGAGGCAAGGAAAAAAGAGACTGCCTCTTCTGCAAGGGTACTCATTTCACAAAAATTGTAATGCCTATAATTCAAGGGGTATTAAAAATGGAAAGAAAGAAAGAACTGCAGATTTTCAGATGCCAAAACAAACATAAAGTAAAAGGGTTTTTCATACCAAATTGAACATTGCTATCAATGCAAAAAAGGGAAAGCACCATACATAAAATTTTGGGAGGGGTTTTATGTAATTCCTTTTAATAATGGGGACAATAAAATAAAAATTAAAAACCCCCGACACAAAAGTGACTGATTAAAGGTTGCAGCAAAAGACATAAAGAGGCCCCAAACTGAGGGAGCCTTGCCCGGCCCTTTGGGTGTAAAAATTCCCGGGAAAAGGCTTAAAAAAAAAAACAAGCGGCGTCCCTCCCCTCCCCAAAACTGGACGGGCCCTGTAATAAATTTTGGGAGACACCGCCTAGTAATAATGACTAAAGTAGTGAATACAGTCACGGGTCTTGCTCAAAAAAGGTCCCAAACCCCGTAAAAAGTATTCTTCTGAAGTTTGAACCCGTCTAAAATTTGGGGGGGGGGGGGGGGGCTGGACAGAATGGGATTAATATAAATGAGGAAATTCCAAAAGAATTTCCCTTTTCTCAGGAACAAACCCGAAGGGGTGTTAAATTTGAATCTGGACTTAAATGGGGGCGACTTCCGTGGAAGCCCAACCCCCAGAATTATCTACAAAATTTTAGGGTGGGGTAAGGGGGGGTTTAAAGGGCCCAGTCTGCGAACTGAGCAAAAACACCAAAATTGTTGACTGCTTTTAAAAATATAATTAAAAACAATTTAAAAAAAAAATTTTCTTACCTCAGGCGACGATAAATTTCACACCCCTTTAAATGCCCCAGGTGGTCCACTGAAAGAAATAATTGGGGAAATAAACTTTTTGTTGGGCAATTTCCGGGTGTGACGTCAACTGAAAAAGGAACTAATAGGGTATTAAAGGTTTAAAAGAAAAAATGCAGTAATGGGGCTGGGGCCCGACTTGGAAACTGAGAGAGACTTTTTATTGTTAAAGGGCCATAATCCAGTTTTGCCCAATAAATTAATCCAGGGAGCAAAAGGCTTATGCCCCTGAGAGAATGGGAAAACAATTAGTCCCATTTTTTAGGGGCAATAAAAAAAGGATGGGCCCTGGTTTGGGGCCTATAAGCAGTAATTTTGCTGGGGGGTAAAATTGGTTTTACCGGGGAGAGACTTGTTATTGTTAAAGTCTCATAATTCCAGTATGCCCAATAAATTAATCCAGGGAAACATAGGCTTTTGCCCCCGAAAAGAAAGGAAAAACTAAATTTTCCATTTTGAGGGGTCAATAAATATGGATGGCCATGGAGTTTGGTTTCCTAATGCAGTAATGGCAGGGGTGAAACTTGGGGTTTCTGAAGAGACTTGTTTTCTGTTAAAGTTCCCCATAATTCCAGTTGCCCAACAAATTAGTCCCCGGGGGGGAGGGGATAAAACTTATGTCATACCTTACAATAAAAGGGAAAATTTTTAATACCCGAAGCAGGAGGCTTGAGTGTCCAAAGGTGGTGCCCGGGGGGAAATACCTGGTGTTTAACCTCGCACATCGCCCAATCTTATGAGTGACCTCTAAGTGTATAATAATTATAACTTTAAACGTCGGGGTAAAAGGTAATGAATCAGTGATATAACATTGATTAAGAGAATCGGAGGGAAAAATAGTCGCCCTCCCTCCGATGAATGCGTGATTCTCGTACCGGGGATAGTGAAGTTTTAAAAGGAACACGACTTCAAACCCGGGGACAAACCGAGGGATACCTCTCCTGCGGGAAATAAGAACAAAAAACAAAAGAAAGGAGGAACACTGCAGCAACCCTTTTGGGGCCCATACTAGGCAGGTCCTTTAAATTTCATCCCACAACAAAACATTTTGCCCAACCCCAAATTTTCAATGCCACCCAAAAAACAACCGAGTCAAGCCCCACTCAAATCCAACCCCCCCCCACTCATTTACTTATCCAACCTAAATTGAAACTACCCCAAAGTCCTACCTCAATAACTCAACTAGATAGACGTTCCACTCATCAACTACCCTTTTTCCCAAAACCCAAATACTTTCCTATCCTTTCTAAATCAAACTTACAAATTTTAAATCCATTCTGCGGGTTCTCCGGGAAGATATCCTTAAAACCCTTTTTAATATCCCTTTTATTAATACCTATCTTCACTTATCCCTTTCGACAGTCTCCCGTCTTTCCCCTTTCGTCTAACAATGAATGTAACTTAAGAGTCTTCAATCTTTCTTCA